CGCCCGGACAAGTTGCCGACCCCCTTCCCCTCCCCCCATCCTGCCCTTTACCTCCTTGGCAAAGCCAACCCCCTCTCCTCCTCCTCTGCCCTCATCCCCCTGCTCTCGTCGCCACCAACTTTTCCAGTTAACTTTTTCAAAGTTTTTAAGTTGCCCTCCCGCCGCCGCCGCCTCCCTCGCCGCTTGTTTCTAATTTAGCCGCCGCGTATAATTCAGTTCAAGTTACACACAATCGGCAGCCCCAGCCTTCAGCCCATTATGCCGACGGGATCGCGTTGCACCGCGGGAGCCGCCCCGGGTCCGGTCTCCTCCAGACGAGGTCGTCGAACGAGAGCGCGTCAGCCTGGCGTCAGCCGCCACGGTCTACACCACACCGCCGTGGTGGCGTCAGCGACGACGAGCCCTCGCGCCGAGCAGCCGGGCCCGCCAAATCACCTTCCGGGACGCGGAGTACGGAGCGCCTCGACGGGGAACCGCGCGGGGAACACGGGGGCGCCACGTCACCTCCGGGCCGCGGCGGCGCCGACGACTGCTCGACCCCGGCGGATCCCCCCAGCCGCGCCAGCCGTCCGCAGACACATCGGCGAGCTGCTCTGAGAGCGCGGGGCGGTACGGAACGCCACGCCCGACGGGCGGGAAGAGCAAGCGACATTTTCCCAGGAACATTTTTATTCTCACGACCAGAGAGGGGAGGGGTGGGGGGGAGACATGAGATGAGAAGTCGCGTGCAAGCGCATCGCCACCGCCCCCGAAACGCACAACGCGAGGCGGGAGGGAAAGGGGGGAGGGGGTCCCACCGCACCGGCTGAGCCCCCTCCCCCTCCGCCCTCGACCCCGTGACGCGCCAAGCGCGGCGCAAACTTCCCATACAACTCCGCAACCACAGCTGCAGGCCGGCGGCGGGCGGCGCACTCCCACTACACTGCCACAAACACGCCGGCGACCCGCGAACATGCGATTACAATCAACTTACAGCGGAACAAAAGTTAACTCACTGCGTTTTTCAGGTTCTCTAAGACTGATTGGCCGTGCTGACCACGTACCTCACAGTATGACAAACAGGTCCATGTCCACGCCAGTTGGCTTTGGCCGAAACTGTTCGTGGGGGTTGCAACTATCCCCCCCCCCCACAGGTTCCCTGCTCGGCAGAAACAGTGTGTAATACAAAACTTCCGTTTCAGATAGCCTCAAGTAACTTATTGAGAAAACGCCAGGTGGAGATATGGCGTAATCGCCGCACTGAATCAGTGCGTCATGTCCAGGCAGAACAGCTACAAGAGAGCCCTCTGACGGGTGTCGCGCGTGGGCGTTTGTGACGGTGACGTTTGAGCGAGGAAGAGAAGGGAGTAAGCGGTGGGGGGGCTGGAGTGCACTGTCCAACCGCCACCCCGCCAGACCGAACGGGTCGGAAGTGTTCGGGTCGGGACTGGGGTTCGGTTCGGCTCCACTCGGCGCTCCGTTCGGCGGCGAGGACGGACGCCCGGCGAGTGGGGTGGGGGAGGGGGAGGGCGCCGGGGACGCCACGCCGAGCGGAGAGAGAGAGATAGCGAAGGTACAGGGTGCACCCGAAGCTTCTCTCAACGCGCGCGGCGCGGCACACTGTCAAAAACTCGGCTCCGCGCTCCCGCGCCTTCCCACGCACGGGGGATGGGGAGGGGACTCAGAGACAAGAGGAGACCGGCAAGGCCTATGCTGAGCTATAGGGCGAGGTGAAGCGCGCCGCACATCTGTGGCGTACTGGCAGCGGCCCGTCCGTGGCTGTTCGGCACTACTTCGGGTGCCCTTCGGAGTACGCGAGATCCCTCAGCCGCGTAAGCGACGTGGGTGCCCCGGCCCGGCTCGGCCCGGGGGCCAAGGGCCCGGCTGGACAAGCTCGACTCTACTGGCTTCGGCGCATCTCGGTGCTCGAGTACTGCAGCTTCGGGGGTCGCGTACTGCGCCGAGGCCGGGTCGTCCCCCGGCTCGGCTCGGCTCTCTGCGCTGTCTCGGCTTAGCATTGGCTTGCTCGACTCAGGTAGCCGACTATCCTCGGCTCCCTTCAAAGATCCGCGCGCGGTCGCCTCTGAGTGACAGTCGTGTAGCTTGTCTTTGTCGCACCAGTGAGTACAAGCGAGAGTAAGTGAGACCCCTGCGCTGGGCGACTCAAAGGTAGCCCTCCCCCACCCCATCCTGCCTAAACCAATAGGCGTTCGGGACGGCAGCCGGTAGTGCGCTTACGCACGGGGGACCAGGCCCGAACCTCGGTGAGCCCAGTGACCAGATGTTTGGCGAGGCACGCTTTTATTGCACCCATTTCCAGTCTCCTCTTGTCTCTGAGGGGACTGGGACGCGGCCGGGCCGGCCGGCCGGCGACAGCTGCCCGCAGGCAGCGCCCATATCCCACATCCAACGAAAAGCTCCGGCCCGCTCTGCGCTCTGTTGCTCAACTTAGCGATAGTGTCCCCCACCCCCTTTTTTCCCGACCAGCAAAAAAGACATGCGCGACAAAACGCTCCACCATTAGCACCAAAGTGGAGTGTTCTAGCGAGTAGGGAATGCAGACCAACTGCTGAGGGTGCGTCGGGCTGCCGGGCAACGTCACCACGCCGCGGTGTCACATCAGCTGACCGGCCCCGCTGACTTGGCATGCGAGCGTCACCCTAACAGTACAGTGGGCAGCTGCGGCGCCTGGACCGAACACACCTGCACAGCTGCCCTCGGGCGCCTGCCAAGGAGACCAACCCCTCTGGCCCGAATGAATCGAGCACGCCGAATCAAGCAAAGACACGGCCCATGGTGTAGGAAACGAGGAAGGAACGTCCGGGGCAAAGGGGGGGGGGCTCCCAATGTTGTGCGTAGCAGGGTTGTTGGGAAGCGATGCTGAGAGAAGGACGACCAGCCCTTCATTCGGCGAGATGGAAAGTTCCCAGGGGGGCCACTCTGCCGGGCGCGGCACTTGGAAAAGTTTAGCCCCCCCCCCCTTCCTCCTCCTGTTTCCCCGCGTTTCTCTCGTCGATTCCACTTTTGCAAGGGGTGCAGCTACTACACTCCCCAGGTGAGGTCCTCCCCAGGGCAGTTCATTA